GCTAATGCTGGTAGTGCTCGCTCCGCCTGCCAGGCGCACCACTCGCTCCCTCCCGTCGCGCGTGCTGCTCGCCTGGTCGAGCCAAGCCTAGTGCTGGTGGCGCTGGTGGTGGTGGTGCTCGCGCGCTACCGCTTATCGCCAACTCTGACCCCAACGGCCAGATTCGATCGACCCTGGCCTCCCCCATGTTGCAAAACACATGTTTCAAATGTTTCAGATGTTTCATAGGTATGTTGCAAGTGTTTTATATGGATATTACAAAAGTAGAACGGGATGTTGTATATGTTGCAATGGTTGTACATGTATGTTGCAACCTTTTGTTCCCAATGTTTCATCTATTTTTCAGACATATGTTCCAAGTGTGCTTATCTGGATGTTGCATATATTTCACGCATATGTGTTATGTGTTTTATCTGAATGTTGCGTATGTTTACAATGGTTTCAAGTGTTTTTGGTATTCTTGCAAGTGTTTTAGACGCATCTTTCAAGTGTTTCATCAGTCTTAAGACATATGTTGCAAGTGTTGCATCTATATGTTTCAAAAGTAGATCGGGTGTTGTATCTTTCTCCTCGCCTTTTGTTGCCTCGCCTCAGTATCTCCTCTGCCTACAGTGCCGCCAGCAAGGTCCGACAGAGCGTCTAGGTCCCTCTCCTTCCAGGTGCTCAAGTTGAGCATAGGGCAGCGGTAGAGGAGCAGGGCCAGTGTTGGCCTGCGAATGGGCTAGCGAGGCACGAGGCTTTTTTTAGGGAAAGAGGCACAAGGCTGCGAATGAACACAACGCGGGCTCTGGAGCAGCGTCCAGACGCGTCCAGCGGCCGGATGTCCGGACGTTAGCCCTTTCGGGTTTTTTTTTTGACCCAACCTAGTTCTACAGCGACTAGCTTCTGAATGTCACATCTATTGTTACACCGTTTCCCAATCGCTTAGTGAGCATAAAAGAAAAGGCTGACCTCGATATTTCTTCACATGGAGAACAGAGGAAGGAAGCAAGTACAAAGTATAGGTCCTGTAGACTTGCGATCTATAGTTGGATGAGCTACTTCTCAGCCATAGAACAGTGTTTTTCTCTCACAACGTTTCAGCATAAGCATCAGCATAAGTCAAATTTCAGCATAAGCGAACAGGTTGATAAAGGGCTGCTTGGCCAGTTGCCAATTTCCAGCCATTTAACTCATTTCTTACTATTTTTTCCAAAATAAAAAGTGTTTGACTTTTGCCATCGAAGCAAGAGGGCCGGGGGAACGCCATCAAGTCTCCACGGCGCGCACCAGCACCAGCACATCGACCTGCGCTTTATCCTTATCTTTCTGCCTAAAGGTGTTGGCTAGCTTTAGCTTTTTTTTTTTTTTTTTTTTACAACAGGCTAGCTTTAGCTTTGACCTCTCCTCCTTCCTGCCTGGTCCCCCGATATTTTTGAACCCTCTCTTTTGCCCTATACTAGTTGGTGCAGAGTCACCTTGTGAAGACTGAAAAAAGCCATGTAAACCCACTGGCTGGCGCTTGTGTCACTCGAAGACTCACAATTGCGCGTCACCATATATAAATTCTTCTTTGGAACCCTCTAATTTCACGACGTCGAAAGACCAGGCGATCGAACAGTACTTGACACTTTCTGAAATCATGGGTTTTGCAAACATGTGCTACAGAGTATTTCAGCTTTGTAGCATTTTCAGAATCCGAGTAATAACCGAACAGACAATTTTGAGACTACGTACTCTGGTATCTTCGTCTTGGAGAGCAGACAGCAGAGGAGGCTCTTGAGAATCTGAAACATTTGAGGCCGTCGTCGAGTGAATTCTTACCGGAAGCAGACGATGGGGCGAATCCGGAGGCCATCTGGGCGACAGGGACGGGAGCACGGGCCACACGGCACTCGGAACCAATCCCTTCGGCGATCTCTCGCCAGATCTTTCTTTCTTTCTTTTTCCCTGCAAATATGATTCACGCCCTGACGCCCAGCTCGGTTGGTTGGAATCTTGCCCGATCTTTAGCGGTGGACACCGACGCGACGCGACGCGCGCTAGAATCCCGTGCAGCTCGACGGGGACGTCGCTCTGCTGTGCTGTGCTGTGCTGTGCTGCCTCTATTCCTCGCGTCTCTCAGTCTCAGGGGCCATCGGCTTTCACATAAGAACCAGAAAATTGGGTCATCGGCTTCACTCAAATCGCCAGCAGACATGAGAAACCTGTGCCGTTAATGTTAGCATCACATGGAGACTTTTGGCAGTTTATGTCAGCTTCGCAGCAATTTATGAAGAAATCCGACCACGACAATAAATAAAATATAAATGAATCACGAAGAATTGGAGATTCGATTGCACAAGGGCGTGAGGAGGACGCTTGAGTTCGGTCCAGAGTCTATCCAAGAGTCCAGTGACCCCACCTCGAATGGACGGATCCCGGCAACCGCCACCTGACTATGACCGGAGACCACGCCGCACAACCAAACAGCTAAAACAGAACAGACTCCGACCTTACCAGATTCACATTCTGCCAGTGCAGTGTGTACCCCTCGGAACCGAAAATTCCCAGAATCCGACCACAACCAAACGAAGAAACTGATCCAGCCCGTACATGGTGTCAGTAGGTGAAAACAGTGCAAATCGCGTTACAGAAACCTTGCGACATTGACCCACTTTGCCAAGACATCCACATGACAAAAACAGCTGACCCATACAATAACCTGTGTCCTCTTAAACAAATGGGGGGGGGCAAAGAAACCAGTACCAAGTCTGTAGGAAGAAACAGAAAAAAGTGGTTGCACTACTGCTACAAACTTCATCCATATCAGAAGCTAAAAGGATGAAAGATTCACTGAAAAGTGGAAAACCCTGAAATCCTAAGAGACAAGTGCTAGTGCTCTCCTTTGCCTTTACGGTTCCATGACCACTAGGGTCATTTGAGGAGACCAAACAATACCATCCCCAACCCTGAGCAACAAAATGGTGGCCCATAAACTCAGAAAGAACGCACTAGAAGCCACACAGATAATTTTGTCCCTACATTTTCGGAGAGCACGGAACGGTTAGTAAACAGTTGATAACTTCATTAGACATTGAGGAACCTACTTTACTGGTAATGTTTGAAAAGTGCCATCGACTCCACAAGTAAAAAACTTCACACCACTCACATAGCTCCTAACTGTTCCATGATTACACATTCTCCAAAACAAAATCACCCAGCTTTTGGGTTTTAGAAGATCTGGATGGCAGGTTGCTACTTCGTCTTGGTAAAATGAGGGGCAAGCAGCTTCGAAACAGTAAAGCCGGTGAACGTTTCAACTCCTAATAGGTCCTTCAGTTTCTCATCACAGATTATTTTCCTCCGATCAGAAGGATCCTACCACCAAAGAAAGGAAGGAGGAAAGCAATTAAAAACAGAATTGATATTATTTAAAGGAATACGCACAAGCCATAGGAATTAGTTCAGTCTTCCTTACTACTATTCCCACAGGATCAATCTCAATGACTATAAACTCCAAATAATTCTGGGGCACGTGCAAATACATGAACAAATGGTGAGCTAAAAAAACAGAGAAACAGGAAAATTCCAGGGCCAGATTTGTTCAACTCAATCAGTGCCTTGATTTTCCAGCCCACATTTGTTTGATTTGAAATGTTTAGTAATAGACTTTTTTCCAGGGTTTTGTTAATTGGAATGCAAAGAAGAATCAAGCTCAGCAGAATCAGTGCATCACTGAGATTGAAATTTAGGATAACAACATTGAAAATCGGTTGGACTGGAAAGTAGCATCCAAAAGACAGGAAAACACAAATAATATAATATATTCGCCATCGAGACCACCTTTTTCTTTTTAATGGATCAACTAGTTAACAGTTTAACACAAGAATAGACATGACAAAATTGTCTGTGGTACACTGCAAACAGAAATTTTCATCTTGAATTAGGCGTCTGAATAGTTGGAAGGTGAATGGACATGGAGCTCATCACTTCATCAGGAGATGCAAGTGTTGGTATTATAATCCTTTATCATGATCGACAGATAGCTCTTTCAACCTGGCTAGTTAGTGAGTGTGCTTGTGCTGAGGAAGTAGAATTTATAGCTTCTTTAAGAAACATTGCAGCTTGCTGTGTTGTGGGTGCAGAAACTGACTAAACTTCAGTTGGATTGTGCAAGTGTGGTATCGACATATCGTTTGACATCGATGGAGAGTCAGATCACTGTGGTGTGGCATTTTCAACCCACACCTTCCAGAGAGAGTGCAATAGAGTAGCTCATGAATTAGTTCAATTAGCTAGATGTACGATGCATCGTGCAGTGTGGCAGCCACAAGCACCAGTCTGTATTACAAAGTTACTCAGAGGGAATGTAGTTTTCCTGAACAGTAAATAAAGTAGTCCCTTTCCCACACACACACAAAAAGAATAGTTACAAGATAAAACAAAAATGGAGAAGTGCATATCCTACCAGCCTATATATAGCTTAAAGAGACAAGGGACGCAATCCTACCTTGCGGCTGACACCCTAATGACAATGCATCTGCAGAAACCCCCTCATATTATTTACGAGAACATCACCGATTGCAACATTACTTCCTAAGATTTGGTCTTTGTGTTGCTACTGAGCTGATGTTCCTTGACTGTAGCAATATACTCCCTAAGTCCCTTGATAAATCAACTTCTAGAGTACTAACATCTATGACAGCAAAAGAAGTATAGTATGAAAATATACTTCATGTCATATCTAACTATACTGATTTTGTGTCATAAATATTAGTTTTTTTCTATAAATTCAGTCAAACATAAAAAAGTTTGACTTAGGACAACTCCAGAAGTTGATTTATCCAAGGACGGAGGGAGTATATGACAACAAACTTAAAATAATGCCACACAAGGGTACTTGGGTTTGGCTATTCAGTGACTATTTGAGAAGACAAGCTCACAGCATATCTAAAAAGGGTGAATTCCTCTACCTAGACCAATCATACATCAGTCTTCTGAGTTATTGCACCACTTATTTGGATGTCTAATAAGTGACACTAGGCATGAGGCTGCAGAAGAACCATAGAATGGTTAATGGTATACTAACACTTGCAAATACAATTTGGTTGGGCTGTGGCCCATGAAAGCTCAAACCTACAAGGCTATAATGCCAGTACTGTAACAAGGGTTTTGAAAATCTGTTTTCAATAATTTCCAGACCTATGCTGGGAGCCAGGAGACATCTCAGTGCACTCTGTTCTCTTATTTTCTTTCACAACAGTTTTCAAGAAGTCCAACATAACTTGTCAAAAGTGCCCTAGAATTTTCCATTCCCGCTACCCACAGGGGGTTTTCCAGTTACTGACAGTAATTGGCTGGTTGCTGCTGCAATTTAGAACTCTGGCTATTGGCCATAGTGGATAGGCATACAGCCTATATCTGGAAGGCGACTGAAATAAAAAAGGGCCTGAAAGAAAATAGAACTCGAGTATTAGCTACTCTAGAGCATCTGCTGAGGTGGCTTCTATACATTACCTAGTGAATAAGAATATAGTAGATTATACGGTACTTGCAGATGATCTACACCAGGGTAATAAACTAGATACTAGGAAGTTGTTAGCCTTGGCAGGGCAATATCATTCACTGTGTAACAATTTCATGAGTTCATATGCTCCATACTATTTCATGATAACAATAGATCCAAAAGTTCTAGTTTTCTGTCCTCATATAGCTCGAATTCTAAATACAACCCCACATATAATAATTACATAATGCAAGAGTACAAAAAAAAAACAGCATATCATATTGTATGCATATTCAATCATGAAAAGAAGCCTTAAGGTTCACAAAAAAGAGTCTCCAGCTTGAACGACTGAACCACTATCAGTATGCATTGAAAAGGCAAAGCATTTCACATTGATAGTAAAAACAGCAACGCGGTATCCACGGAAAGGAATTTACCTGCAGGTTGTTCTCTTTTATGTAGTCCCACATTTTCTTCACGACATCAGATCGTGATAACATGCTCTCACCAGTGCCGATAAATTTCACTAAATCATCCGAAAGTTGAAGGGGCACAAGAAGACCAGATCCAGCTCCAGAAGAGCCACCCTTTTGCTTCTTTCCTGCAAAGGATATTTCATCAACAGGCTAGTGAGAACAGAAACTCATGATTGGGTGAAGACGCTTATATATTTCTAACCTTCATTCCTGTCTCTCTTTTGTGGCTTCTCTTTGGGTGTTGATCTGTCAGGAGAGACAGGACCTAGCAAATCATAGTCAAATAAGTACTTTGGAGCTAGAAGTGGTGAGTGTTAATAAAATAGAGATAGGTTAGCCAAAAAGTTGATAAAATAATCTAACCATGGGGCATGGAACCTGGAGCTCATTATTTTACTCTTGTGCAAACATGTTAAATGGCACTATGCTTAACTAAACCAATAAACAAAGCTGGGAAACAAACTAGGAAGAATTTAAGCTCACATGAAATGTTTTTTATGTGCCACATAAAGAGTTTTTTAATGGCTCAATCAAGTTCAGATTTGCATTTTTCTTCCTAGATGCGAGAACATCTTTGTCGATAACACTGACTTCCTTTTCACTATTTTCCTTCTGGGACTTTTTCTATGTTCATTTCCTTTTAACATTCCACAGCAACTCTACATGGAGACTGGTACACACAGAATTATTGTACAATGGATCAGTACCCTCAGAATTCAATGGCCAGATATGCTTGGTCAAAGCTTTATTCATTTGGAACATATCAATCGAATTGACATTGAAGATCTTCCTCAATCTCTCATCGGGCAAAATCTTCCTCCTATTGTTTTGGTCTTGCAGATTATTTTCCCGAATATATGCCCAAAGCTTCTTGACAACCTTAAAGCAAACAAGCACAGCAAGAAAGAAGTCAGTGATATTATCCTCTTCATGATTAATTGGTATCACTCATCCAATGCAAGTTAGACATAGGACAGTAATCAGGTAACAGTGTTTACCTCTGTCCTGGCTAACTCAGAGGCACCGACAAACTCTTGAAGTGCCGGGGAAAGACTGCATAATTTTGTAAAGCCACCACCCCTTTTCTTGCCATCATTACCCCTATTTAACACAATGTGATATACAGAAAGAACCAGAATTACCAATAAGAAAAGTTGTGCACGTGCATAACAGAGCTGGTAAACCTGTTTAACAGTTTAAACTGTCAAGAAATATGACACAAATACGGTTGGTTTCTAATCTTATAAGCCATGTAAGACTAAAGTTCCAAAGTAACTATAAGCACAGGAATAATGGTAAACAAAGATTCAGGTGGGCAAAACCTGAGAACAAATATCTATAATAAACCCAACGCCAACAGTATTAGAACTACAAATGTCTGATACCCACATATTTAAGAAATACTCCATTGTGATCCTGAATCCTGAGTTATCGAAGAATATAGCAAACAAAAGGAATGGAAAATGAGAATCGAATTAAAACTAACTAGTATGAATGAGAGTCACTGATAGGCTATCCTGTTAATGAACTTTAAAGATACTAGTACGATATTCCATCCTAATCATAACCGAAATAACGGTTCGTTGAGTTTGTGGAATTAACAAACACCAGTGCAACCTTTCAATGGACCATAGTAAAAAGGAACAGACGTGAATACAACATTCCATAACTCATATCATCTTTGAAGATATCCAAGCAAATCCAAATAGCTAAGTTTTCACACTCCATGTCATGTGTTGGGATTTATTTGTGGATGAGATAGCAAGGGATAGTTGTGGCAATATTCTGGGCATCTCCCTGAACCTTGTCAGCGCTGCTGAGGTGCTGGGATCAACTACTGCACCGCCTAGGCAGTGCTGAGGAGGAGACTGAGATGATGAATTGAAGCTTGGCTGGCTTGCATAATGCCATTTAGGGATAAATTTCCAATCCGACTTCAGCTCCATATACAGAAATAACTTTCTAACACACCAGTGATAAGATATGGTTACCAATCTCAATCTAACTTAACTCTGGACTGGTTTTGCGAAGATGCAGCAACTTTGGCAGACCTACTGTGTCTAGCAGAGGTTATGTACCCCACATTACATCTCCAGCACTTATAAGGGAGAATATCCAGCGCACACAGAGTGCAGTGAGTCCCTTTAGGATGTAAATGAAACTACTCAGGATGCAAAAAGCAGGAGTGAAATAGTCACATCATGTCCACTTTAGGGCATGTTTGGCTGCACACCAATCCAACATAATCCACATGGGTTGGGAGATATTAGGGTGCAAAAATAGTTAATTTTTCACCCTAATGCCTCCCAACCCATGTAGATTGGGGTGGATTGATGTGCAGCCAAACAATCCCTTATGAGGATATTATGCTATCATGAAGAAATTAGCAACATTTTTTTTGGAGGAGTTTAGCACAACAAACATTTGTATTCTGGCCTGTGTGAAACATAAAAATCTACGGAAGCCGGAAGGTGGTAGGTGCGAGTAACAAGACAGAAGAACACAAATTCACCAATCTCGCACAAGAACAATCATTTCTAGACCATCCTAATTAGGCTATGCAAGCCATAAACCACAAAATATGCAAGGACTGATGCTTCTTTTGGCATTCGCATGACAAATCTGGAAGTAGGAAAAAATGAGTCACATAAAGCAGAAAACATCATAAATCAGTTGCTAGATTGCACAAACGTCGCAAAAAATAAACTAACCAGCTTAATGCGGTAAACAAGCAATACCAAAGCCACGCGACATCTTACAATATCCGGGCCAAAATCACACCACCAACGCTAACCAAACAACCATTTCCTACTGTGCAATCCAGAATCCTCCAGGAAGGAATGCCGAGCTGAACCCTCGAATCCCCATCACTATTCGCATCGGCAATCTCACCACAAACGCACGGTGCCATTCCCTCACGATTCGCCCAAACAACGCATCACAGAATCCTAAACGAAGCAGCAAATGCAAAGGGAGAGAAACGGAGAGCAAAAGCCCCTCACCGCTGCTTTTTCCGGGAGCCGCTGCTATCCCCATCCTCGTCTTCCTCCTCCTCCTCCTCCTCCACTTCCTCCTCCTCCTCCACCCCCTCGCCCTCCTCCGCCTCCGCCTCCGGCTCCTCCTCCTTAGGCACCGGCGCCTCCTCGGGCTCCTCCTCCTTGGGCTCCTCCGGCTCGTCCTTGGCGGCGACCTCGGCGAGGAAGAGGTCGACCTGCTCCCGGATGAAGGCCTTCTTGTGGGAGAGGTCGGCGCCGAAGTCCTCCTCGAGGCGGCGGCGCAGGGCAGCGGTGGTCGTGGTGTTGAGGTCCGACGACCGCAGCACCTCCTGCAGCCGCTCCACCAGCTCCGAGTCCGACACCATCGCCGCCCGGTCGGTTTGGGAGTCTCTGGCTGGCTGGCGTACGGGTGCCGGGGTTTCGCCTGGTTTGGTTTGCGTGGGCTGAAATGTGGCGGCTTGCGGGCGTTGGGCCGCCCAAATACACCGTCACTCACGTGCCCCGAATGAGAGAGGGGTCTACTGCCTTCTCTCTCTCAATGTGTCGTAAATGCTGCGATTGTTTCTGTCTAGTAGCACGTTAATTAATTAGTGAAAAGAGTAAATCATTACCTTTCTGACTGGCAAGTGACCTATGGCTACTGTTACTTTTTCCGCACCAAATTGTAAGACGTTCTGTCATTTCTAGATTCATAGCTTCTACTATGTATCTAGATATAATATAGGTGCGTAACAAAAGCTATGAATTTAGAAAAGCCAAAACATCTTATAATTAGGAATAGAGGAAGTACGTTTCATGAATAATTCACTTGATAGCAATACATTTACTTAGAATTTCAATATTGACCAGAGTGGCCCTGTTCGCTTCTCTTATAATCCGTACTTTTCAGCTTGTTTTTTCAATCGAAACAGTAATTTTCTCTCACAACAAATCAGCCGGAACAGTATTTCGGCTTGTTTTTTCAGCGAAGCGAACGGAGCAGTATATGTAGATTAGATAGGAAGTGCTTTGATTTAGACATGTTAGGGTAACCTATATGGAATTGTTTCCATTCTGTAACAATTCATTGGCTTTGTCCCTTCTAGTGAATTAGCTACTATCCCTTCATTTCAAATTACAAGTTATCATATTTTTCTAGATATATGGAACAACTTATAATTTAGAATGGATGGAGCAGTTGTTACTGTACTGCTAAAAGTCATTTTGCATGACAAGACTCCGATACAATGAAAATTTTGTGACAAGGCTATTGATAGGAACCCTAGTCCTACCGGGAACTGATCTCAGGTTGTATGAGTAGGAGGGGAAAGGTCGAGGCTTGAGCGAGCGAGGAAGACGGCGTGGAGGCGCCGTGACTGCGTAGGCGTGAGAAGGCAGAGGATGGAGGCGCTACAGTACCATCGCTACAGTGCCGCGGAACTGTTCACGGAAGAAAGAAGGAAGAACGGCTAGGGTTTCTCCCGGCTCCATGAGGAAGCCGGAAACAATAATTGTTTCTGCTTAATTAATCCCAAAGGGTGTTTACAATATATATAAGTCTCTCTCTAAATAATAGAAAATTATCTCTAAAATACTATAAAAATAGAATAACTATGGGCTTTTAGCCCCCCTCTGACCGGCAGACTCCCTAGCCACTGTTGGGCCTGCGCCTATAGGGAATTCCGGTCATAACATCTCTCCTCGCCTGGACAAACAGCTCGTCCTTGAGCTGGAACTCCGGGTAGGCCATCTTGAACTCAGCGACCGACTCCCAAGTGGCGTCTTCAACAGGCAGGCCACGCCACTGAATCAAAACCTTCCAGACATCGCATGGGCGGCTTGCGCGCAACGACGCGTTTCCGGAAAGGTGAAGGATGCGGGCATCTGAATCGGCGGAAGAGCACCGGCGCCGCAGCGGGTGGTCGCCATGCAGTCTTCGCTTTCAAAGAAGTCGACGTGGAAGACATCATGGAGACGCGCACCATCCGGAAGTTGTAGGCGATACGCCATACGCCCGATACGTTCCAGGACGCGGAAGGGGCCAGCCCACCGTGGCCCCAGCTTGTGCTTGGCGCGAGGGTCGAGGGATCGCGCATGATGTGAAAGAAGGCGCAGCTGCCACTCCAAGCACCGACGTCGAACTCCACCTCTCGTGATGAGCGTCGTAGTAGCGCTTGGCGAGCTATTGAGCTTGGACAAAGACGCCGGACTTCGCCAACATCTCATCGCGCCACGGAGAAGAGCATCGGCCGCGCTCAGACGGGCGGCCCCGGTCGGTAAGGCGTAAGAATCGGGTGACGGGAACGCCTGCAGACACCACCTCAAAGGGCGTCGCGAAGAGCCGTATGGAACGAAGTATTATAGCAATACTCCGCCCATGATGGCCCGATCCACCCATGCGCAAGGCCTATCACCTGTCACACAGCGTAGGTACATAGCAATCACCTTGTTGACCACCTCCGACTGGCCATCCGTCTGAGGATGGAATGCTGTGCTCATACGAAGAGTCACGCCCGCCATTTTGAAGAGATCACGCCAGACGTGACCGGTAAACACGGGTCCCGATCGGCGATAATGGATGTCGGGAACCGTGTAAGGCGTGACGACGCCGTCGAAGAAGGCGCGGGCGACGGTAGCAGCCGTGTAGGGATGCCCGAGCGCAATAAAATGTGCATACTTGGAGAAGCGGTCCACGACGGTGAGGATGACGGACTTGTTACCGACCTTGGCGAGCCCTCGATAAAGTCCATGGAGATGTCCGCCCATACTTGGGACGGCACCTCCAGGGACTGCAGCAGCCCCGCTGGGCGCATGGCATTGGTCTTGTTGCGCTGGCACACCTAGTCTTGGACAAGTACGCCATCGCCGGGGATATAGAAATCCGAGCGAAGGCGGTGCAAGGTCTTCTGAATGCCCTCATGGCCGGCCCCATGGGCAAGCTGGACAGCCTGATGGCGAAGGTCGCTGGCGTCGGGGATGAAGATGCGGCGGCCGTGCAGCAGGAGACCAGCGTCCACACGCCAAGGAGCAAACAGCTCTCCCGCTGCCAAGCGTTCCTGTAATAAAACAGCGTCTGGGGCAGCAGCAGTGGCGCGGCGGATGTTGTCGAGGAAGGCAAACGAAGGCCCCAACGTGCGTACCGCCTTGGTCATTTGAAGCGTCATGCGCGCCGTGGTCGGGTCGGCGTCATGGCGGGACGGTAGCGTCCGCCATCGTGTTCGGCAGCGCCTACCGATACTCCACGGCAAAGTCGAAGCCAAATAGCTTGCTGACCCACTGGTGCTGAGGCACGGTCGACAAGCGCTGATCCAGAAGGTACTTGAGGCTGTAGTGATCCGTCCGCACAACGAAGTGGCGACCCCAAAAATACGGCCGCCAATGCCGCATCGCCTGCATGAGCCCAATAAGCTCACGCTTATAGGCAGCTAGCTTGAGATGACGCGCCGCAAACGGCCGGCTGAAGAATGCGAGGGGACCGGCGCCCTGGTGAAGGACGGCGCCGAACCCCGCTCCCGAAGCATCGGTGTCGACCACGAACACCTTGTTGAAGTCGGGCATCTGCAAAACCGGCCCGGTGGAGAGGGCGCTCTTGAGCGCCGAGAAGGCTGCCTAGGCCTCATCGTCCCAGGAGAACGCGTCACGGCGCAAGAGGTGCGTCAGTGGCGCCACGACGACGCCGAAGTCCCGGATGAACTTCTGGTAGTAGCCGGCGAGGCCGAGGAAGCCACGCAAGGCACGGGCGGACTGCGGGGTAGGCCAGGAAGCGATCGCCGCAATCTTTTCCGCATCCATGGCGACCCCCTCGGCGGAGATGACGTGGTCGAGGTACGCCACCGACGTCGCCCCAAATGAGCACTTAGAGCGCTTTAGGTGAAGTCGATGGGCGCGGAGAGCGTTGAGGACGACGCCGACGTGCTGTAGGTGCTCCGCCCAGGACGAGCTGTAAATCAAGATGTCATCGAAAAACACCAGCACGAACCTTCGAAGGTACGGGCGAAGAACATCGTTCATCAGGGCCTGGAATGTTGTCGGGGCGTTGGAGAGCCCAAATGGCATGACCAGGAACTCGTAGTGACCCTAATGGGTATGGAAGGCTGTCTTGCTGATGTCATCAGGGTGCATCCGCACCTGGTGATAGCCGGACCGCAGATCCAGCTTGGTGAAGAAGCGCCATGCAGCTCGTCTAGGAGCTCGTCCACCACTGGTATAGGAAACTTGTCCTTGGAGGTCTTCACGTTAAGGGCGCGGTAGTCGATGCAGAACCTCCAGGAGTTGTCCGCCTTATGAACAAGGAGAACCGGGGTAGAGAACAGCGAGGTGCTGGGCCGAATAATGCCCTGGGCCAGCATCTCGGCACACTGACGCTCGAGCTCATCCTTCTGCAATTGCGGGTAGCGGTAGGGGCGCACCGCCATCGGCGCAGTCCCGGGAAGCAGGTGGATGTGGTGGTCGTACGGGCGCTGCGGAGGGAGCCCCGTGGGCTTGGCGAAGATGTCGTCGTACTGCAGGAGGAGACGGTCCAACAGCGGCAGTCGCGGGTCAGCCGCGACCACGGCCATAACCTGCTGGGGGTGGGTGCCCTCGGCCCGGGCACCCCCTGCCACGTGACGCTGCGTTCGTTCCACCAGAACGACAGCGTGAGAGCGTCGCAATCCCACAGCACGGGCCCCAGTGTCCGGATGAAGTCGAAGCCGAGGATGAAGTCGAAGGCCCCCAAGCTGAGGCCAACGCAGGTGATGGCGAGGTCCTCGTCGCCGATGCGGATGGGCACGTCACGTGTGATCCCTTCGCACGCCAGGCGATCACCATTGGCCACGGTGACACGTAGATGCTCGCCACCAGTGGGAGAGAGACCGAGGCGGTGCATCGCAGCCCCTTGGACGAAGTTGTGCGTCGAGCCGGTGTCGAGGAGGGCGAGGAAGTGCGCGCCCTTGACGGCGACCGGTAGCAGCATGGCGTTCGATGGCTGGATACCAGCAACGGCGTGGAGGGACAGCACAAGGGCGTTAGCCGTGCCCGAGGTGGCGTGGTCAGCCGCCAGCTCCTCCGGATGGGCGACTGTAGGGCCATCCGCAGCCGCTGCGTCGGCCGACTCGTCGTCGATGTAGTCGGTCATCTCGAGGAAGAAGAGACGTTTGCACATGTGGCCATGCACAAACGGCTCGTCGCAATTGAAGCACAGTCCCTGGCAACGACGTTCCGCCTGTTCGACCGGTGAGAGACGACGGATCATGCGCGGCTGGCCGGGAACAGCAGGGGTAGCCGGCTGGGCAATGGCAGTCGGCTGGGCTGGGGCCAGGGAAGCCGGCGTCATCCACGCGGGGCATGGGCCGCGGCCCCCCCGCTGCTGCAACTGCTGGAGGGCAGGGAGGAACGCCGCCGTGCG